TGAACCTCAGGTCAGACAAAGCGAGGTTTTAGACCAAGCAGGAAGCTAAAACTTAGGAGAATAGGCGGCACATCTAGGCCATCTAGAGCCCAGTGCATGAGCTGGGGACCGGCCCAGGCCTCCTACCTTTAACTGCTGCTATTTGGTATTAAACACCCATCCTCTTAACAAGCCTCCCCAACCCTGTCCTCATCTTTGGAGATGGCCCCTTCTCCACAGCAGAAACTGCTCTCCTGGTGTTCCCCACTGTCCACATGGCTCAGAGAAGGGCACCACCATTGACTGTTTTCCAAACCTGAAACCCCTTCTCCACCTTTCAAATCAGTCCTGTCCGTGATCATCACCAACTCCGAAGGGTTCTGCCCCTTGCTCTTAAATGCAATCACTACTGTCTATCTTCCAGTCAGTCTGTTACAGGTATCTATAATTTCTTTAGGCAAACTGGTTGTCACACATATTTTACTGTATTTTAGTAACTGATTTTCTTATCTACCTCCCCATCTTCAAACACCTTGAAATCAGAGGTTGGTCATTCTTTTCCCCATGCCCAGGACCTTCTAAGAGGGCCATCTTGTATGAGTACAGTTTGTGCATTGCTCAAGGGCCCTATTTGCATCTATTTGTCGGAATATTCGGTTTATGTGGAGAGCTTCCCGGGCAAGAGTTGTTTGTGTTGTACAGTAATAGAGTAACATGCAGGTTTATGTGAGAAAGGGGTGCCTTCTTCTCATCTCACAAATGTGCCAAACCAGCCACCATGCGCTCTGCCAGTAACTATACAGAAAATTTTTGACACGGTGGGGAAGCAAAGTCTTGGAAGAGACAGTCAATTCTCAATACCTCACAGCTCAGGGCCTCACACCATGGCAGCCTTAAAGGTGTCAGGCACCATGTGTAACAGCCCCAGAATGGAAACAGCCTCCGTGTCCACCAGGAGCAGAATGTACCAATAGGTGATGGTAGATTCCTACCTGGAATAGTACTCAGCGATGAAGTTTGACAGCTGCTGCTATACTTTATGGGTACGAGTAAGCAAACAAAATGTATGAAATGAAATTTAATTCCGTGGATATAAAGTACAAAACTAGTCAAAGGAATCCTTGGTGTTAGAAGTCACTAAGGTGTTTTCCCTTAAGGTGTGGGTCTGGGAGGGGCTGTGAGCTTTTGCAGTTACAGCAATGAATGATAAACCTCTTGCCGCAGTTGCTGTTTTATTTCATAAGAGTGTGATCTCTTAGTGGATCTATGTCCTTATGATTTATGTATTTTAAAACATATGTGTTAAACTTAAGTAAAATATTGTCCCCACTTTTACCTCTCCCTGCCCAAACCTCTCTGCTCCTCTCAGCTTTCAACAGCTTCCCTTTTTTAGAGCAAATTCCAGAGAGAGCTTAGGAACCTCAGAATCCACAAGGCCTCCTTCAGCTGCTCCTGAGTCCCCTCCCTCTGCTGATATGACTGAGCAGAGGACATTCCTCCTCCTGGCTTTTAATGTGGAACTTCCTCATTGCTCTTTTTCTTCATTGTGAACTGTCTCTTGTGGCTCTTGCTGTTTTGTAGCTGAATGACAAGCAGCTTGCTCTTCTCTGCAATCTGCTGGTATCACTTGGGAGTAAAATGTCACTCCCATAAGGAACACCTGCTGATGGCTCCATCTTATCAGCGAGCAGACAGGCCACTGACTACGTAAATGTCCTGGATGCTCATGGCTCCCCATCTATGCCTCTCTGGCCATGGTGTGATGAGATCCTGGAGCCCCCACTCCCTCCCTGGGGTTGCTGCTCCACATCCTAGCATCTGTCCTCTGCCTGGAGTCCACCATCCAGTCAGGTTCTAGACTCAACTCTTTGAAGGACAGTTCTGGCCAGGTCCCTCCAAAGCTTAACCACAGACAGTGGCTCCCTAGCTTCTGCTCTGAGTCCCCATCTTGACATGCCATGAAGACCTTCCAGACCGAGCCCCTGCATCTCCCTGTGGTTTCAGCCTAGGAGAGCCCCTTCCTCACGGAGCTGAGTGTGGGCAGGAGCCTGTAGGCATCACAGTCCTCTCTGTGTCTGCCTTACCCTCCAGCTGGAGTTCCATTCTTCTCAGTGCTTAGATTCAATTATCTCTATTTTACAGCTTCTTCTGACTTTCTCCTTCACTCTTCCTTCCTTTATATGCTTTCCCCCTTCATTTTGGGCATCTTTTTTAAAACTTCATTTATTTACCTGCCTCACCTTCACCTCTCAACTGTAAAATTTGCAGAAAATGAGATTGTTTACTTATTTTGTTGGTGCCTGGCACTTAGTAGGCATTTAATACACATTTGCAAGGTAGGTGGGGATGGGGGTGGGATAGAGGAGTGGGTGGTGGGGGAATTAAGACATTTTGACAAGGAGGACACCCTTCCTGCGTATGTCAGGCTCCTCCTTTGCACTAGTGTTGTCATGAAGGGAGCTTGGCTTCCTGACGAAAGATTGGAAACCAAGTGATTAGTGTGAATTCCTGCTGGAAAAGAAAGAACTCTTCTGTGTATTCCCAGGCATCCGAGTCACTGCTAGGATCCTCCCTATGTGCTTGGCAGGCTCTTGAGAATCCCTCCGTTTTTGTTGGAATGTGAGCTTATGGTTTTGGAAAGTTAGGTCTTTCTAAACAGATGCTCAGACCACGAAGTCACTGGAAATGAACGTGGTTGCAATATGCCCCATTTTACACCAATTAAGCAGAGCTCTGGGCTTCTAGGCCACAGCCAACCCCAGGCCCAGGGGAACCTCAGCTATCCCTGAGTCTAATAGCTCACTATCTGCATAGCCTTACACAGTCATCTCAATGACTTCAAAATACTTAGAAGTTGTGTGTTAAAAAAAGGACTTTAGGGTCTAGGGTTGTGGCTTAGTGGTAGAGTGCTTGTTTGTGGCATGTGTGGCTAGGTTCGATTCTCAGCATCGCATATAAATAAATAAATAAAGGTTCATTGACAACTAAAAAAAATTAGAATTTCATGTTGTGAAAGAGTCTGGTTCTTACCTAAATAGAGTCTTCTCTCAGTTACATTGAAAGTGAACAGTAAAACTTTTAAGACCACTGTCCCCATCAAAAAAGCAATAGTAATTTTAATGTCATTTCTTAGTGTTTTGTATTGTAGATGGTTATGTAATAGATCCATGTAAATCATTTCATATGAAATCCCTTAGACAGTGCCTGGCATATGGTAAGTACTGGATAAACATTAGCTACACATATTAACTTTTTCCCACATGAAATTGTCTGTGAAGCAGAGTCCCATTTTACAGTTATAAAGTTCCTAACTGAAACTAAAAGTTCAGAGCCCCTTCCCTCTCCTCTCTTAAAAGACACTCTTTTTTGGATCAGTTTTTCTTTGTTCATTAAAACTCAAAAGTGATTTTCCCCAAAGTTTGCTCACTTAGTTCTGTGAAGTAAGGGGATTGGTGAGGTGAGAGCAAGACGAAGATGAAGAAGGGGAATAGGCCGCTAGGCTTCTGCATTATCTTAGGGGCATATGCCATACCATAGCCATTCCTGCTAGTTAGGACAGCTGGTTATGAAGTAATTGCACAGTTAAGTATTTGTTTCAGGGCTAGAGACTCCTAGGGTTATGTTCCAGTAAGCCCATCATAAGTTGGAAGTACTCTAAGTAGAAAATGCATTTGATCCACCTCATCTCCTGCACATCCTAGCCAGCACACCATAGAACATCAATGGTTTCCCCTCAAGACAGCAGGCTGACTGGGAATAATAGGATCACTGCCATTGCCTAGCATCAAGAGAGGACCATACTGCATATTGCTAGCTTGGGGAAAGATCCAAATTCAAAATCCCAAGTATGGTTTCTACTAAATACATATCGCTTTTGCATTATCATAAAGTAAAAAATTTTTAAGCCCAACCACCCTGAGACTTGACAGTACTGCAGATTGGATCACATGTATCATCTTACTCAGTACCATACTGCTCCAAGTCTGGTCTCGATGCATATCCCAGAGTGCTGAGTAAGGTAGGTTGACCAGCTCATCCAATTTGGCATGGCTGATAAATGACCAGAGTTGGCTGCTAAGGGTACTGTCAGGGAATTAGGCTGTATTTTGTTTTCTGAATGAAAGAACAGCAGAGTAGTAGATGAATTAGGCCTGGGGTAAATGCACTTCACCATGGAAAAGTGTCTTTGTAATGTGTAGCTCTGTATAAAGAGACCATTTCTCTGCTGGAGTGGTAACTAGTCTACACCAATAACTTATATGATGCAGCCACTTGTTGTTAATGTGGGCATGGTATACTCTGAGAATGAAATCGCCCAGTTCCTTTCCATGTAGGTATCAATTTATGCAAGAAAGATATTTTAATTTTGCTATTTGTGTCAAAATATTAAGTGCACACCTTGTAAAATTCAAGGAGGTCATTACCTTCAGTCCCATAATGCATCGTATGGAAACTTCTTTCTACTGCAATACAGGACATCTGTAATGTGACAAGATTTGTGTTGTCACAGGAAAGTTGGAAAGTTTCATGAGTAAAAGTTTCCAAAGATATGGAAGGACAATAGCCCCAGGTAGGTAGAGAGGTGGGTAAAGCCACAGGGTGAGGGATGTGGACCAGGACTTGAATGATTGTTAAGGGCAAACCAGAAATCCATGGAGAAAATTTAGCCCTAAATACTCAAGTCATGGATTTTAAAATGAAATTACATCATAATGAAATACTTAAAATGTGTTATCAATTGTTGAGTCTACTGTTCTTGCTCTGAGTTAGATATTTATGGAGATTTACTTGGTTGCAGACTACATGTTATAGGAAACACCTTGGGACATCCCCAGACGTCATGTGTTTTGATCAGAGCTAAAGAGTATTTTGGTCATATATGAAAGGCAATGCTGTTCTTTCTTATCTTCCCAGGTGGAATATTTCAAAGATCATTATCCATTTCTACAAAGTAGCATTAACATTATATGAAAAACCATAAGTAAACATTTTTTTTCCCCCATTTATTTTCTTTTTCAGAGAGTGATGGTCTTCAAAATGAAGACTCTGGAGAATTTTAAGTTCTCTATAGGAATTACAAAAATTGAAGGAAAGAAAATTTTCAAAAGGAAATTGTTTTGAAAAGTATGTTTACAACTAACTGATTCTATTGACTATTTTTTTAAATAATAAAATACTTTGAGAAGATTATATTTATGGTAAAAGGAAACTGGACTAACAATGAGGCCAAAGACTTTTCCTGCCACAACTTATTCTGGGAATAGCCGACAGAGACTACAAGAGATCCGTGAAGGGTTAAAGCAGCCATCCAAGTCTTCGGCTCAGGGGCTGCCCGTGGGACCAAACAGTGACACTTCCCTGGATTCCAAAGTCCTGGGGAGCAAGGATGCCACCAGGCAGCAGCAGATGAGAACCACCCCGAAATTTGGACCTTATCAGAAAGCACTCAGGGAAATCAGATATTCCCTGTTGCCTTTTGCCAATGAATCAGGCACTTCCGCGGCTGCAGAAGTAAACCGGCAAATGCTGCAGGAATTGGTGAATGCAGGATGTGACCAGGTAGGCACAGACCTCCTCTGGCTTCCCCTGGGGGTGGTTACAGTGAGGAGCCACTTCGAGGATGTTGGGGGCAGCTAGAATCCTTCGGCAGCTACTCGAAGGCTATGAATTGGTTACCTCTCACTGAAGTGTCTTGAGGTTAAAAATCAAGGGCTCTTTTGTGTATCATTGAACAGTTCTCTACTTTGTCTCCAAAACAGTCCTTAGGTGCTTTTCTTCTCAGGCAAGATCCAGAAGTTTCTGAACTCTCCCTAAATTGTCCCGCTTGGGATTGAACACAGAGCCTAAGCATGCTAAGCATGTGCTTCACTACTGAGCTATATCTCCAGCCCAGTTCTGTTCTTAAGATGATGAGAAGGGCTTTCCTACCTCACCTTTTTTTCTGGGGTTTATTGAGGGTTATTCTGAGCTATCGTGGGGAAGGGATTAGCTTTCCTTTTTTTTGTTTTTGGTTCATGTATTTTTAAACTCTGTTTAGGAGTATTGGTTAACATACATTGGCTCTTCTCTGTTTGCTCCTATTTTAAAAAACAGTTGTTTACACTGTTATGGGAGATGTAAGTATATGCAGAAAATAAGAAAAATCAGAAAAGGCTTAAAAAATCATCAAAATGTGGTGAATGGTATGCTTTACCTTCTCAGTTGCACCTTCATTAACGAAGATGGCATCAATTAGACATAAATACACAACTTATAGCCGTATTCTTATGCTTTCTTAACAGTGTACATACCTGAATAAAATACAAGTTGAGAATCAGGACAATATAAAATGAAACTAGTATCAAACCAAGTATAAATGTAATTAGTTAGAATGTAACTAGCAAAACTATGATTGTATTATAAAATGACTTATGAAAGCCAGCGCTTTATAATTCATCTGTCATTTTAAAAATCACAATTTTACAAAATAGAAATAAACTCTGTAGTTATGCTGCCTTGCAAAATTAGCTCAGAGCCAGGATGGCGTGAGCACTTTTAGTTTCCTAGAAATAACCTAATTATCTACCCCTGGCATCACAGTTGTAGGAAAAGGCTAAAAGTGTCATCTTTGTTTTCAAAGACAATCTCAAACCTCTTGTGTAGAACTTAACGGAGAAAACTGACACTTCTCAGATGATGTTTGTGAAACAAATCCTGCTATTTTGTAGGGGGCTTCCCTGACACTTGGGGATATACTGGGATTAACTTGTGTCTAGCTAGCATTGTTAGGTTGAGTTGCGTTTGTAAAGCACAGGATCATGAGTAATGTGGTGTGGAGTGTTTTAGCAGTGGAAGCTGACAGCAAAGGCATGACCTTGCTCATGGTAAAAGTATGAAGTTAAATATGCTGCCAAGTGTATTCCCAACAAACAAAAAGCAGTGGTTTGAAAATAGGAAAGGAGCAGTCCTAGGGAAACATTGCAATAACATTGCAGAGGGGCTTTCAGGCCAACAGTAAAGCCTAAAATCTTCTCCTGTAAATCAATTGCAAACAAAAGAGGCAACCAGAGCCCCGGTGTTCTTTTCAGTTGTATTTCAGCAATGAGAAAAAGAAACAAGTCAAGCAAATAATCCAAAGTACAGGTGGGATCTTAGGGTAAAATCCATTAATGATAATTACAGTGCAAGAAATAATGAAGTAATACTGTTTTTTAATGTGGTAAAATACAAGTACAGGAAAATTAAGGATCATGATACCAATGAAGTGTTCCCATCAACATTTAATTTATGTTAATTGTTAGTAGAAGGGGCTCCATTGCCATCTTTAATGCTCCTGAAATTATTCAGTCAGTTCGGTGTCTAGATGCACCTCCACCCATACCTTCCAACTCAGACAAGGGTGTATTTGCTTTCAAAAATTTTTAGTAGGAATTTCATTATGTGAGCCCGAATAATGTGAGGAAAAGATCAGTGGTGCCTCTGAAGCTGTGTGCATCTGTCGGATAAATCAGATTATTTGAATTCCAGTACAATAGGTAAAGAAAATTCCTACCTTTGTACCTTTCCCCCTTTGTCTCCTATTGTATTAGATGCAGTTTTACTTCAGAGGCAGTTTTGTTCTCCTGTATTTTAATTTTAAGTGCTAACTTTAAATCTCTATTCATCAGAGGGCAGTAAGTGCCTTGTTTTCCCAAGGTCTTGCAGGTGCTAGTGGTGACACCTGCTTTCACATGCAGTATCTTATTTACTTATGTGCATCTAGACATCTTTCCATTTTATCTGGACTAAGGCTTATTGAAAACATTCCCTTGACTGGTTGTGAATGAATGCTTTCTTTTTAACTTTTTATTAAAGTAAAATTTACATTTAAAAAATGTATAATTTGGGCTGGGGTTGTGCCTCAGATGTAGACTGCTTGCCTAGCATGTGTGAGGCACTGTGTTTGACCCTAAGCACCACTAAATAAATAAATAAATAAATAAATAAATAAATGTATAATTTGTAAGCTTACAGCTAGGTGAATTTTCATATTAAGCGTATCCATGTAACTAGCATGTATGGGTTTATTTTAAATGAAAATGTCTAAAAGTGAAAATTTCTGGAAAACGCAAAAGACTTAATTTTTTATGTGATGATATAATATATATATCAAATAATATGATATTCATAATCTTTTGCACATAAATTATTAAAGACTTGTAGAAATTCCTATAGGTAAAAGGAAACTAGGCTAGTAGGTTAATGTTCCTTAAGGGAAAGAGCTGCTCTTTAAATATAGCTTTGAGGAATTGGAATGTTAAGTTTTTGATTACAAATTTCATATTTTGTATCATTGAATACTTGCTATTGGCATAAGTAATCACTTAAATTTAGCTTTTACTTTACTGCCTTATAACATTCAGTTCTCTTTCTTCTTTTAATCTTCATGGTTTCGAATAATCATATTTCCAGGTTTTCCTCTTCAGGGTTTTTAAAAGCACTGAATTGATTTGCAGTGATGTTAATGTATGTAATGTTTCTCTGTTACACAGAAGCAGTGGCTTGTGTTTTCCAAGTGGGTTAACAGGTGGAGCACCTCCATGCCACGCTGCAGAGGTGTTGCTGAGCTTACTGTACTTAGGAGTGTAGGAGTATAGGTCTTGGGAGAATGAGGACCCAAAGCAATAGCTTCCAGGTCAGGCCCATGGCTCTGGAATCCCTTGGAATAGCAATGCAGTTTGTCAGGTTGTGTCCCCTAAAGGAGGACTTGGGTGAGAAATCTCTTCCAGATGTAAATACTTCCCACATGTTCTTGCTTCCCTTGAGAAATCAGCATGCTTTTTCTTCTCTTGACAACCTGCTTTCTGACCTTAGTGGAGTCTCCCTCTTGTCTGCTGAGAGGTGCCCAATTTGTGGCTCAGCATCCATATATTCCTGAATTTTTGTGTCAGCTGTGATTTTCCTAATCCTGATTTAGTCCACTTCTCTTCCACTTTATTGTATGTGTTTAAATTAAATCTTTAATGGAATGAGGATAGGGAACATATAAACAAAGTGGGTTTTTTTGTTTGTTTTTTTAAGAAAGAGAGAGAAACAGAGAGAGAGAATTTTAATATTTATTTTTTAGTTATCAGCAGACACAACATCTTTGTTTGTATTTGGTGCTGAGGATCAAACCCGGGCCGCACGCATGCCAGGCGAGCGCGCTACCGCTTGAGCCACATCCCCAGCCCCACAAAGTGTTTTTTTAAAACCAAATTTGGCAGAAGGAAAATAGCCAGTAATTGAGATGTACATTCAGAGGCAGCCTTCCTGAAAACAATGACCACTGCACCCAGGGAATCTGGGATGGATCTGGTTAATAAGCAAAGGAAGTAAAAAATGCATTTTTAAGCCAAAAGGGCAGAGAGAAAAAAAAAAAAAAAACAAGTTTCTCCACACACTATACAAGTTCTTCTTCTGACAGCACTGCAAGGGGTTGTGGCCTGAGCCTCAGGGGCAGGAGGGTCTCGCATGGGAACTGCCCTGGGGTTTGCAGGTGCCTGTGTGCCAGGCACCATCCTAAGCACTTGCCAGATATTATTTCTTCAGAACTGCACAGTGCCGCAGTCTGGCTGGGCACAAATCACGAGCCACTGAAGCAGGAACAAACTTTATTTTTAAAACGCAGAAAAACACTTCACACAGCTCCCGGGGAAATCCTCCCGAACGCGCCACGAGGCTTGTCCAGGAACACCCAGCCGGAACTATATCTCCCGGAAATCCCTCCTCCTGCACTTCCCCAACCAATGGGAACTCTCGGGGAATCCCCGGAAATCCCCACGAGAACTCCAAAATAGTGCGAGAACTCAAAAGTTGCGGCAGAGGCGGACAGGCAGAGGCGCCTGTCAATCAATACTCAGCCGTGGCTCTCAGCAGCACAGCAGTCATTTGAGATGGTGCAGCATCCTGTCCCACCTGAGTGCTTGTGAACTGACCTGTGTGCAGAGTGCTTGTTACACTTGCTTATTACTCGTACAAAACAAGTGACAGTGTCACTGAGAGGAAGGAGTCAGTGTACTACTCTCTGAGGGTGGTCTTTCAGAGATCTGGCTGTGATGTATCCTGTGTTCACCATTGCCCTTGTTGCTGGATGGCTGCTTCTTTTTCAGGTTCTGTGTTTCCATTTGCTATGACTTCTCCCCCTTTCACTCATGTTCATTGGGGCATCCTGTTGTCATTTATCTCCTCTCTCATTTCGCTGGACCCATGCACAGAACTTGCTGGCTCTCGATGCCCTGTCTTGCTCCAGCTGCAGATTCTAGTCCACAGCACATACTCACTAATTTCCCAATACCAATGAGCTCTCTCTGATAAGGATGTGCAGTGGGCCTTCTCCCAGCTACCCCTTTCTACTTATTGATTCCCAAATGACTGTTTTAGTCAGCTTTTTCGCTGCTATGACTGAAGGACGTAACCAGAACAATCTTAGAGGATTAAAAGTTTATTTGGGGGCTCACAGTTTCAGAGGTCTCAATCCATACACCACAGGCTTCATTCCTCTGGGCTCATGTTCAGCACACTCCACTTGCCAGATACCATATACCCCAAAGCCATGCCCC